GAGGTGGGGTTGTTCACCAGCTAGCTGATCTGAGAGATCCATATCCACAGGAAGGCTTGTCTCACATGGGAACAATGGAAGGGTGGAATGCAAGCACTGGGGTGTGTGGTGGGGGGGGGGGGACTGCAAGCACGGTGACTAAAGTAAGCCGATCTTGCATCTATTGGATGGTTGGTGAATCTGACTTGGATTGCAGGATACAAACAAACAAGTTTCAGTCAGGAGGGAGTTTGAGGCTGTCCATTCAGGCCCTATGGTGGTGTGTGTGCTATTGAAGAGAGTTGCTTGATGCTGACAATGACAGCAGGATCCCAAAGGTGACCCTGCTGGAGGGCAAGGTGAGCACCATGAGGGTCATTGGGAGAAACAGCTGAAGATGGCAGCTGATGGTGCCAAATTGGTCTACTATTGTGTGAGAACTGTGCTCACCATTGTGTGCTCTGGGGACAACTAAGTTCACTCATCCTGTATGATAGCTATGTCTCTTTGACTCTTGTGTGGTAGTTAGTGTAATAATGGTTCATGTGTGCAAGCAAGGGTGCAAACATATTGGAGGTGAAGGGCAGCATGAGTGTGCCAGAAAGGAAACTGTAATTACTATCTAAGGGGACAAATGGAGTGTACATAATGATTCATTCGGCATCCAGCACTGTCAGAACAGTGCTGGAATCTCTCCTATACCTGGAACTGTTGGGTAATATGGGGAAAACATGTTGTGGTGTGACTCAAGCTAAATGGAACCTACGCAAACAGTGAGCAGCACGAAAAGGGCAATGAGGCACCGCCACGCACCTTTGGTATCGTAGGATTCATGAGGGGACCTGCAGGTGAGCATCATGAGGTGTTGGGGGTAGGAAGGAGAACGCCGGCAGAGGGAAGCGTGCAAGTGAGAAGGGAATGGTTGACGACGGTGAAGGCAAGCCTTAAGCTGTTGACGGTATCCCCTGAAAGCTAGGCAGGTGATAGCTGGGCAACATGGGTGACGCAGTGAGGGAACAGATTTATCTTTGAACAAGAAGCCGGCAGGGAAGTTTGATGAGGTGAACAAAGATGTGAGGGGACGACCATGGGCGAGGGCAGTGATGAGGAAGGGGGAAGGTGGCAGCTCTTGCTTCCCGTATAGGACCTACAAGGCGGCCGAGAGAAATAGAGGAAACACGTGGATGCTGTTGGGGGTTACTTGGGGTCAGTGTAAGATCTAAAGTCCCTTATCGACTCTCTGTACAAAACCTATGCGTTAGAAAGACACTCAATAGCTTTCGCCTGTGTTCAAACTGTGTACGGGGAAATTGCGCCCATCGTTGTGTGATGCGACCTGCGGCTTGGGTGGATGAGATGGGACTGGGACAACTTGCGGCATCAAGGAATCACCAAGTGGTAGAGCAAATAATCACAATTGCAACGTGAAGAACGCATTCACATGCCTAGGCCTCACCTCTCCTCCTCGACCACGCCGTTGATGCTAGCCCGTCTACGCTCGCCAATCTCATCCCACCAAGTGTCCCACTCCTCCTTAGCCCTCGTCCAGCTCTCACTCTCCTCTGCCTCTTCTCGGCCATACACCCCCTTTACCAGGCCTGTCCTTAAGAACGGGCCTAGAGCGTCCACCCATGCGCGGCCAACAAGCAAAAGCACTTTCTTATCCCTCTCTCTCTGTTTTTCTCGTTCGGAGTCGTCTATTTCGAAGCTGGTCCGGCGGGTGACGGTCCCCCATGCCGAGCGGCAGAAGGTGAGGAGAGCGGTAGAGGACGCGCAGAGGGAAGCGTCGAGTGCTTCCAGTAGCGGGGAGAGGAGTGCGGATGGGGCGAGTAGGCGAAGAGAGTTGAGTGTCGTTAGCTGGGAGTTGAGGTACGTCGCCAGTGGTGGGAGAGAAGCGAGGTACGCAGGCGGGTTTTGTGGAGTGAACGTGTGCGCGTGCGTGTGAGTATTAAACAGGGATTCAGGGGCATCGAACGCAAGGAGGAATGTGGACGGCGGCCGGGCGGACTTGCCTGCTGCGGTGAGGGAGGTGGACAGCGTGCTGTCGGCTCGGTGCAAGGAGCGTTGGGTAGCGGAGAGGACGGCTTGTTCGAACAGAGGGGCGAGGAGGGCACGGAAGTCGAGTCCTATTCGAGCGAAGGACGCGGAGCAGTACGACAGCTGGGTGAGGAGGGAGCTGAGTGCGCTTGCGTCCTCTACCAGAGGTAGGGCAGTCTCAAGGGTGCCGATGAGCGTGGACAGCAGGTGATGGGAGAAGGATGTGAGGTAGTCCTGCAGCTCTGGTGTCTTATTCGCCGAGGGTCGGTCGAGGAAGATCGTGGTGTACTGCGTGAGGATGTCGTATGCGCCTTCACGGAACGCGTCTACGTATTTGCGCACATAGCGTGCCGGGTCGACGGAGCGTTCTGGTTCGAGTGCGTGCAGGGAGGCGGAGAGCATCGACATCCTTGAAGTAAGAAAGGCGAGTGCGAGCTCGGGTTCTGTGAGCGGCGCAGGTTGCATTCGTCGTAAGAAATTGATGGCCTTGAAGAGATTTGGGAGCTTCGCAGGCTCGCGAAGGACATGCAGCAGCTGGATGAGCATCTGTCGCATCGTCGCGTCTACTTCGGCGGCTACGTCACGCACGACCTGGACAGAGGGAAACCGCTTGAGAAGGGAAGTGGCATGAGCGGAAAGATCCAATGCTTCTTGGTAATGTCCGTTGCGGACGCAGGTGTCGAGCAGTTGGGGGATCTCGAGGATGTCCAGCAGCTTGTCGGATTGCTCGAGGACAAGGGTGGCACGCTGACGCGATGCCTGGAGAATTTTGGTCTGGTCGGCAAAGGCACGACATTGGGTGTCCAACGCTGGGAGTTCATCGAGCAGAGATGTGAGTGAGGATGAGAGCGAGCCGAGGGAGGATGAGAGCGATGTCGTCGTCTGATGAACAGAGAGGAACGTCCGGTATTCCCTTTGACACAGACCAGTGAGCTCGCTGGTGATCGTCGCCGACTCAGTCGTCAGCTGGCTTGGCTCCTGTAAGAGCGTTGGCAGATCAAGAGAGGATATGTAGGAGAGGTAGGACTGCGCCGCCGGCGTCGGGTCCGATGCAGAGATGAGGTCGATGAGCGACGGTGGAAGGTCGACGAGGGTATGCATGACAGGCGACGTCCTCCCTGACGACGTCTCTTCAGCGACGGTCTCCATCCAGAGTAATTTGACGCTCGACGTTGGCAGAAATGGCCGCGAAATCGTCAACAAGTCCGTGTACGTCGACGTGATTCGCCTCGAGGACGCGCCGCCACCGTCGCCCGGGTTTGTGCTCGTCGTCGTCCATTCCCCTTCACTTCGGGTACTCTTATACCTTGTACTCATACCTATGTCTTCTTGTACATTTTTTGCTCGACCATGATGTCGGCGTCTAATACCTGAACACCTGTGTTCTTGAAGAAACGCACTGATACCATCAACTCGACGAACTCAACATCCAGTTCACTCAAAGCCGCGTCCCTCCAATGTGGGTCCAAAGCATGTGAGATCTACGTTGATCTTTGACCTTCATTGTAGACGGCCATTGTGGTGACCGCGGTCATGCGAAAGGATCCAACCACACATTTCTCCGTACGTGTTGCCTCGAATCCGTCACATGCCTGTCCAGCTCATCGCCGATCAGACATCAACCCCTCCGCCTCCCCCACCTCCCGTCGAGTTCTTCAAGTCAAGTCCCCCGGCTCGTTGCTCCGGGCGAGACGACATTATTGCCCCCATGGTCCATACTCTTCTCAGTACTCCCGCAGCACACATCGCTCTTGTCGGCACGGGTGGGATTGGCAAAACCACCATCGCGACCAAAGTGCTTCATCACCCGGATATCATAACGCACTTCAGCAACAAACGGATCTTCATGTCGTGCGAAGCGAACAGCACTGTTGACGCTTTGTTGGCTAGTGCCGCTAATTCGCTCAAGATACAGGACCGTTCTGCCTTGCGATTCTCAGTCAGGGAGTGCCTGGCCTCTCTCGAACCCCGCGCGCTGATGGTTATCGACAACTGCGAATCTGCGTGGGACAGCGCTGCGCTAGAAGGGGTGGAGGATATGATGAGCGAGTTCGCTTCCTTGCCGAACCTCAGCCTCGTGTGTACCATCCGAGGCGGAACGACCCCCCCGATTGACTGGTCTCCTGCTTCGACATACCATGTTGGGCCACTCGAACACAAGGCGGCGAAAGAGCTGTTCCGATATGCGTGGGGCAAGTCCCCCGAGCCAGATGAAGAAAACCAGCAAGAGGAAATCCATAACAAGGCGATTGACGGGTTGATCGAGGAGATGGACGGTGTTCCACGACCGCTGGTGATCCTCGCATCTCTCGCTCAGGCGACTCCGCCTCTGCAATTACTCGATTGGTATCGTGCTGAGGGTACGCAAATAGTCAAGAAAGGACGAAGAGGGCGAGATATGGATTTCGACCACTCGACACGCCTATCGATCAATTGTCTCACCATGCAACAACACCCTCACGCGTTGGAAATCCTGCGGCTTATTGCAATCCTTCCGGATGGGGCCGAGAAAGCCCGGTTGGAGGAGATGTTTCCAACCATGACTCGGCAGCGTGAGCTCGGCGAAGCGACTCGTACGCTTCTGCAGCTCGCGCTTGTGGAAGACTATTTTGGCTACCTAAAGGTCCTTGCCCCAATACGCAATTTTATGCAGCATCGATATCCGCCTGCGCAAGCCGCACACTGGCAAGAACTAGAACAGTACTATGAACGTCTGGCCCAAAGCGGGGTGCACGTCGGAAAAAGCCGGGGTGCCGAGTGTATGAAGCGCCCTACCAAAGAATTCCGCAACGTCGTCACTGTCATGCGGCATGCGTTGACAACATCTACTCCGCCAGCACCATTGATCGAAGCTATTGTTGAGTCCGCCCGATTTGCCTGGGTGGCGAAAGAGGATAATTAAGTCGTTCAATTGCTGTCCGAGGCACTCAAGAAGGCCGATGGGACCGCTGGGCTTTCTCAGCTGAAAGCCCCGTTCCTCTTAGCTATCGGTACACTGCAAACGGAACAGAGGGAATATGCTTCAGCCAACACTTCCATCAATGACGCCATAGAATTGTTCAATGAGCAAAAAGAGGACGTTTATGTCACCGACTGTCACCTCGCCCTTGTAGACAACTACTATGCTCAAGAGCTTTGGACAGACGCCAGTATCCACATCAGGCCTGTGGAGACCAAGATGCTTTTCGAAGGGGATAAAGATTTCCTAGGCAAGGCCCAATATCTGCACAGGTTAGGCCGCATACTTCGTCAGCAAGGGGATGTGCAGACCGCACGGAAAACCTTGGACCAGGCGAGCGAGATGTACGAGACGCTGAGTACGAGCTGGATGTCGCAGAGGTGGCAAGGGACGTCTCATGCATACTCTCGGGTGAAGGGAAGACGTTGGAAGCCATGAAGATGCTTGGGAAATCAAGGGCGTCTTATGAACAAGTGGGGTTCGAGAAAATGGTCTACGCATGTGAGAAAGAGATCCAGAAGCTTCAGTCAGGGCCCGTTGTTGATGGCATTGTATAAACCTACGGCACACGTTAAATTAGCCCTAGAACTATCAGTGTATTCTTATGGTATTTATCTGCTCCGCTATTACGGGTACACTCGCTTTTGCTTCAAAGAATGACACCATAGTGCATCGGCGCTTATATTAGCACATCCTCTGTCTCCTGGCAGCAAACCCGGCAACGAGGTGTTTTCACCCACATCCACATGGCAAACATCATGCTGGCAACAAAGCGGCGATTGAACGAATTTCGCACAGTACATATACCCTGACTGTTTCTTGGTGTCTGTGCAGAAGAGGCTGCAACCTTACCCTTCCTTTTACCCTGGCTGCGTTGTCTCCTGTTCCACTCGATATGCCTTACGATTCGAACTGGCTCAGGCATCTTGAGGAAGAACGAGGACGCCTGGAAGCACAGCATACTGAGCTCGAGAACCTCCGACAAGAGGGACAGAAGGAATACGATATGTTGGAAGAAGAACTGAAATCCCTGCATGAAACAATGACCCGCTTATCCAATGAGCTTCAGATGCAGCGGGACAAGCACGCCGACATTATGACGCGTCAGGTGTACCTCATAGACAGGAACGAAACACTGTCGAAGCAACTTGACAAGATACAAACCACACTCGATGATCTTCATATTGGTGTACTTCCGATACAGGATTTTCCACAAGATATTCTTCGGCTAATCATCACGGAAGGGGCGAGCCAGAATCCGAAGTTCCGATGGACCGCCATGGGTACCTGTCGCATTTGGCGCGCCGTTGCCTCGTCGACGCCGATGTTATGGTCTCATGTTTGTGTGCATCTTGGAGATGAGAGGGAAGATATGCTCGAAGTCACTCGCCGGACGTTTCAGCTGGGAGGTCAATCATCCCTCGATCTTGAACTTCGCTTTGGCCCTCGACCATATCCCCGAAACCCTTCACAGCCGCTTCATCCGAACCCACCCCCATCCAATGCATGGCATGTGTCTACACGGCCGGGAACTTGGGGTGTTTCTCACGAAGTTGCCCCATCGATAGCACCAGCTCACGACTTGGCGTGGCAGTTCAACGATGGTGTTGAACGTGATATCTCAATCATGAACCCCAATTACGGCCTCGCTTGCGATTATATTGACTTGATAATACCAAATGTGGCAAGGTGCAAACGTCTTCTTTGGTGGTTCGCCGTGCGACCATCGCCTCTGTTCGGTAACTGGACTTGGGACACATGCTGGCTATATCGGCGAATGCGAGGTGTTTCAATGCCGTATCTAAAAGAACTCGACGTATCTCTCGGTGGATATGGCCTCTGTTCTCTTCGAGAGGGGAAGGTGTGAATCATCATGACAACGCTCTCAAATCACTCTGTCAAGCCGCTCAAAATCTCGTCCACATCACTCTCCGCGACTGCTCCTCCTGGCATCCTTTGCGGACAACATCCCTCACAAGCTTGGAATTGTTCGAATCTCAAGTCGACTTGGACAGCATTCTGTCCACGCTGGACAAACAGCACTCCCTTGTGTGCTTGAAGATCTTCCACTGCCGTATCACAACGACGGCACGAGAATTAGGCTCTCTGGAAGGGGACCCGGCTCTGGAACAGAGGTCCACCGAGGACAATAGACCACCAACCCCAACTGTGCTCCGTTTGAGTATGCTGAAGGAGTTCACTTTCTACTCTAATGCAAAATATATCGCTGGAGAAGCTCACCTGTTCCGTCGGGTCAGGTGTCCGAATCTTATGCGGGCGGTAATGCAATGCAAGAACTGGGAGGCGGTGATGGCGGAAGTGGCCGGGTTTCTGCTCGGGAGCCCCTTGCTCGAAGATCTTGCGATGTCCATCAATTCTCCTGATTCTCTGGCCATATTTTTCCAAACTCTGACGTCCGTCAAAAGATTCGAGGGCATTGGGAGGTCGTACAGGACAGAACTCGGAGCGCGGTTTCTGACAGCCGCATCTGTGCCGGGCACGCTACCCCGGCTCAACCAGTTGGGCTTAGATAGCCCCGCTCCTGCAGCAGATTTCCTGTCATGGGTCCGATGGCGGCAGGAGTCTGATCTTCAACCTCTCACGACGTTCCGAGGGTGTCTGACCGTTTTGACTGAGGATGGTGAGAGCGATGAATGGGCCGACGACAGATGGATCGATGGCCTCACAGAACTGGGTGTCGAGCTGTTAGACGAGAGTTGGGGGTTCCAGAGTAATTAGCAGATGTACAGCTAATTCACGCCCAAAGATTCTTATTTGCAATACGAAAAGGAAATCGGCTTCAAAGGCCGAAGAAGAAGCACAGCCACGCTGAGTTCTTTCTTTGTACTTCCCCTCCTTATGCGCCTAACCTGTCTGAATCGGCCAAAATTGTGCTTCCATGTCCGGACATTTTTAGGGTCCGTGGACGGTGGAAGCAATTAGGTTCCATAGGGCACGGATGTATTTAGATTAGGTCCCGCTGACAAATATTTGGTCTTGTATAGAGAGCCAATCTATGTCCACACATTAACGGTGTTACTGTGTTTACTGCTGTTAACAACAGGCCACAACACTGGTAATGGTCAGGCCAATGGTTGATCCCATGTACAGCTGCTCTATGTCTGCAGGTTTATGGCATTAACACCTTTATTGCCATTAATGACAGGCCACAGCACTGGTAATGGTAAGGCCAACAGTTGATCCCATGTACAGCCACTCTAAGTCCACAGGTTAATGGTGTTAATGGATGTATTGCCATTAACAACAGGCCATGGAACCATTAACCATAAGGCCAATGGTTGCTCCCATGCAGTCATTAAAAGGCTCATCCACATGCATTCTCCTCTCCCTCACTGTTCTTCTCTCCTCTCACTCTCCACCTCCAACAAGTCTCAACTTCTAGTCACTGTCAACAATGCCTCCCAGAGGGACCAACACCATTGATACCATTGTTACTGACATTGATGCACCACGCTTGAGTCTAGCTGCATGGAGGAGAGAAGAGGCTGACTGGTGGGCTGCCCTCTGCAAGTTCTGGTCAGTGGATGACAGAGAGTGTCTGTCAGGGCACCAGCTCATTGCTTGGTCAAGAGACATGACTGAGCCTTTATGACATGGAAGTAGCTGGTATACCTTGGCATGTGCTGGAACCTGCTGGAAGGATTGGATAGTCAGGTGACCTGCTGTGCATGGCTGTGCATGACCTCATATGACCTCATCCTTGGTCATATGACAATGAATGCAAACAACTCACCAATCTTGAGATACTCAACTCCCTCTCGAATTCCTGTGCAAATGTCAACTCAACCCCTCCTCTCTTATGTCTGTTTGTCCAAATGGTCTTCAATACTTTATTGAGGTGTTCAAATAGGAAGGTCCAGAATCCTTGGGCTGGGCCAAAACAACGGACTTGGGCTGCCATATGCATTACCCAATGAAAGGTTGGGTGACATTGATTTTGCCATAAATCTGGAAGACAGGTAAGCTTGATCCAGGGGGAAGGGGGTCCTCAATGAGTTAAGTGGGTGTGTGGTCTCTCTGGGGGCAACACAACCACTCACAAGCCAATGACACTCACTTCAACATATTCCTCAAAAAAATCCTTGTACAGCTGGCCAGCTGTTAGGGCAACACAGGCTGACTAAGTCTGCTCACCTAAGAGTGCCAAGAGTCTAAGCAGGCAACAAGGAAGTGGAGTAGACCTGATGACTAAGACCTATCTACAGTATAGGTACCTGTGGATGATCCTAAGAGACCAAGTCTGAAGAGACAGTCCCCAGGCAGAGTAGGCCTTATATTTATACCTCTGTGGTGGAACCTGCTAGAACATCTTGCTTACTCAGCCTAGTCAGGTGATCAGGTGATATGACCAAGGATGAGGTCATATGAGGTTCATGCACAGCCATGCACAGCAGGTCACCTGACCATCCAATCCTTCCAGCAGGTTCCAGCACATGCCAAGGTATACCAGCTACTTCCATGTCATAAAGGCTTAGTCATGTCTCTTGACCAAGCAATGAGCTGGTGCCCTGACATCACCCCCCCTTCTAGACATGCTGTCCCAGCATGTTGATACTCCTTCTTCTGCTTTTCCCTTCTTCTTTCCAGATGTCCAATCAAAGAGAACCCTATCAGGTGGTATAGTATAGTTAATGAGTGGTTGGAAGTGAAGCCTATCAAAGGTGATGGCTGAAATCCTTCTGGGAGCAGAGGGGTAAAGCCTATGGAAATCTGCAATAGCCTTTTTAGCATTGCCTAGATTTCCTAAAGGCTCCCAAGTGTTCTCAGAGGGAGGATACCCCTTCCACTTGATAAGGTACTGGAGGG